CCCGGGGACGGAAGCCGGCGGCAAGTGCAGCCAGGCTGATGGCCGAGTGGTGTGATGTGCTGAGTGTGGGTACACCAGGCAATCCAAGCCAGGACTGCTTTGCAAGCGGGGCACCCCTGAGAACTGTCTGTCCGGGGTGGGGGTCGGGTCCCTTTAAGCACAGCCCTCGGCTAGCTCGAGACAGCAGCTCCACGCTCTAAGTCCTCATCTGATGCCCTGCTGGCACTGCTTCCGGCCATCCTTAACGCCGGTTCAGGGTCCACTCTGTGTGGACAAGCTAGTTTGAATTAGCAAAACGCTAATTCGAACTAGTTTTTTAGTCTGGATGCATTAGTTCGAATTGTCGGGTCCCTTTAAGCACAGCCCTCGGCTAGCTCGAGACAGCAGCTCCACGCTCTAAGTCCTCATCTGATGCCCTGCTGGCACTGCTTCCGGCCATCCTTAACGCCGGTTCAGGGTCCACTCTGTGTGGACAAGCTAGTTTGAATTAGCAAAACGCTAATTCGAACTAGTTTTTTAGTCTGGATGCATTAGTTCGAATTAGCGCTGTAGTGTAGACATACCCTAACTTCCTTCGTAGACAGTTGCTTCCCATTCTGCATGTGTGAAACTGATTATTCTTTCCTAAGTAAAGTACTTTGCATTTGTCCTTATTAAACTTCATCTTGTTTACCTCAGACCAATTCTCTAGTTCAGTGGTCCCCAACCTTTTGGGGCTGCCGGGCATCCGGAGGCGGGGCTGTGCATACACTGCGCTTCCGGGGCCGGCACTGCATATGTGCTGCACGCCTGAGACGGGGGCTGTGCATGCGCCACACGGCCAGGGCTCAGGGTGCAAGAATGGCTTGGGCTGGCCCTGATCACTCGGCGGGCGCACATAAATGCCCCGGTGGGCACCATGGCACCCGCAAGCACCATGTTGGGGACCACAGCAGTTTGTCAAGATCATTTTGAATTTTTACCCTATCCTCCAAAGCACTTGCAACCCTTCTCAGCTTTGTATCATCTGCAAACTTAATAATCGTGCCTTCTATGCCATCATCTAAATTGTTGATGAAGATATTAAACAGAACCAGTCCCAAAACAGACCTATGAGGGACCCCACTTGTTATGCCCTGCCAGCATGATTGTGGACCATTAGTACCTACTCTCTGAGAATGTACAAGCCAGTTATGCTTATAATAGCCCCATATAGGTTGTATTTCTCTAGTTTGTTGTTAAGAAGGTCATGCGAGACTGTGTCAAATACCTTACTAAAGTCTAGGTATAGCATGTCCACAGCTTCTCTCTATTTAACAAGACTTGTTATCTTACCGGATTGGTTTGACATGATTTGTTGTTTACCAATCTGTGCTGGCTGTTACCTATCACCTTATTATCTTCCAGATGTTTGCAGATAGATCCCTTAATTACTTGCTCTATTATCTTTCCTGGCACAGAAGTTAAACTGACTGGTCTGTAGTTTCCTGGGTTGTTCTTATTTCCCTTTTTATAGATGGGCCCTAGATTTGCTCTTTTCCAGTCTCCTGGAATCTCTCCCTACTTCCATGATTTTTCAAAGATGATAGCTAATGACTCAGATACCTCCTCTATCAGCTCCTTGTGTATTCTAGGATGCATTTCATCAGGCCCCGGTGACTTGCAGACATCTAACTTTTCTAAGTAATTTTAACTTGTTCTTTTTTTTTATTTTAACTTCTAAACCTACTCCATTTCCACCAACATTCACTATGTTAGGCATCCCATCACTATCAGTTGCGGGACTGCACATGAGTGAGAAGAAAAAAATGCACTGATATGGTCCCTGACTGAGAAGCAGAAAGTCATTCCCCACATTCCTCTTCTAAGCTAGAGCCATGGGGGAGGGGGAGGCAGCCTAGTAGATGTTATCTGCTCTAGCCCTGCAGACTAGAGGAGAGGGGCTGGAGCACCAGCATGGGATCCCCAATATTAGGGGGACCCTAATCCTCAGAGGCTAGATGCAGGCAACCATGCTGTAAACATTCAGCAGGTATGTTTAATTAAAATGTCTGAATGGTCCCCTTGACTTCACTTAATCTCTTTGGTGGAGAGGGTTTATAAAGTGCCTTCGTTTAGACATGATGAGAGGGCCTAGGTCTGTGCTACAAAAAAATGGAGGGAGACGAGGGGCTTTAAATATAGGAGCCTAAATTTAGACACCTACATCCATGTTCAGGCAGGTGAACATGCAGCTACCTTATCGGAAACATTGGTGCTCAGAACTGAATCCCATTGTTACAGACACAGGAATGTTGAAACTCAAGCCAGGCACTGAGAGAAATGAATATGGATTTGTGTCTGTTGTTTATGTAATATCTCAGGCATTTGCACAAAATGTCCAATTCTACCATGTTTGTGAACAGGGACAGAGTCTGGGCCCAATGGGGATGTGGAAAGGATTAAAGCCCCTTCTGAAATATCTCCAATTGCCCTTCTCCCTGACAGGCTGCAGAGCACCCATGTCTTTCTTCAGATCAGTCCATGGCTTGCAGAGCCAGGGACAGGAAATGGCTGTGGTGGAGCCGGTGAGCTTCGAGGAGGTGGCTGTGTATTTCTCTGAGGAGGAATGGGCCTTACTGGACCCGGGCCAGAGAGCCCTCTACAGGGACGTGATGCGGGAGAATTACGAGGCTGTGAGCTGGCTGGGTGAGGGTTTCTGGGTGTCAGAAACTGGGAGGGCTCTGGAGCAGCTGGGTTGGGTTTGGTTCAGGGTCCCTCATTGCACCTTGCCCCCCAGTATCAGGAGTGTCAGGCCCAATAATCCTGGTTCCTGTGTGAGAGACTGTCCTCTCCACGCCCCCTCCCAAGGGAAGCAGGTTGAGGGAATAACAATGGTGCTGCTTTTCCCACAGCTAGGGTCTCCGTGTGCTTCCCCACCATCTTGCCCATGTTCTGCCTTGGCCGGAGGTGTCAGTGGAAGGACCCAGGCAGGAAGGGCAAGTAACAGAGTTGTGGGGTGGATTCTGGCTGTTATTAGTAACTGCAGGGTCCTCCCTTTTGCCAGCGTGCTGAGTCCCTGGATGGAGAGCACTGTTCCTGGAGTCCTTTCCTGCCTGTGGCTGATCTGTAACATGCTGCTTCCTGCCAGTGAGAGGGGCTGGGTGCTAGGGCTAAGGGAGGGTGGATGTGGCAGCTCATGCTCTGCAACTGGTCTGTGGGGGGCAGCTCTGTAGTAGATAAATGTGAAGTGAGTTCTTCTTGCATTTCAGGCACTGCACTTGGTGTTAGGAAATGTGTTGAATTTCATGCCTCCCCCCATCAAGTTGTTTTCAGTTACCCAATATTGCTTTGGCAGGGTTGAGTGTTAGTTACTGGACACTGAGCAGGATAGTTTGGAATAACGTCTTCCTCAAGATGCAACCTTACTGACCCATGTCCCAGAACACACCCCCTGCCATGCCCTTGCCACTCAGAGATACGTTGCCTTCATTACCAGAGTGATGAAGAGACCTGAATATGTGTGGGGCCATATGTAGGCAGTGAGTCAATACAAAGCAAGGGGCTCTGGAGGAGACAGAAAAGGGGCTGTAACCCTGGCACACTCCAGATACAGACAGGCCTGGGCCCTGGGTCTCCCTCTGGCCCAGAAAAACAAGTGCCAGGGAAGGCTGAAAACTGAGTCAGCACCATGCCTGTGCTCCATGACAGAGCCCAGCCAACTCCAATTCCTGGCGGGCCATGGAATGAAGGCGGAACACAGGCAGGCCCCCCAGAGCTCCTCATCCTGAGGAGGAGGCAGCATGTCCAGCCAGTATGTGTGTGGGCAGGACACGAGTTCTAGGGGATGACTAGGGGCAATGTGAGTGTGCAGAGCTTCTCTGGGGATGGGATGGAGACTCTCAATATGAGTGAGTTGAAATGGAACATTCAGAGTGATGGGTGGGAGCTGATATGTCAGGGGCCTGACATCAATCTCCAGCGAGCCAGGTGATAGAGGAAGGTGGGGGAACACCTTGACTGAGAACAGCCAAAGAGGCAGGGGTAGGGGAGCCTTTACCTCCTGGAGCACACCATGGAGGACATGGCAGCACTATATACTGGGCAAGCATAGTGGGGCCTACCCAGTCCTGCCAACCATTGTCCAGAAGGTCATTGACTTTAGTGACACCAGCCAAGAGCAGCCTCTGTAGCACCTGAGGAACCTGCACCCCCTGTGCCACAAGACGGGGGTTGAGCAAGAGGAGTTCAGGCAGGAGGTCTCTACTCTTGGGCAATGGGGCAGATCTGATTGCAGACCAGTTTTCAGAGATTTCAGAGGAGACGTCTCAGAGGGAGGACAGCAAACTACTGGAGGTATCAGAAATATGGGAGGCAGACGTACCATAGAATCCTAGAGCTGGAAGAGACTTCAGGAGGTCATCAAGTCCAGCCCCCTGCCCAAGGCAGGACCAAGCCCAACTAAATCAACCCAGCTAGGGCTTTGTCAAGCCGAGACTTAAAAACACAGACGTAAGAGCACAAGACTATGAAAGTGACCCTGGGGGATTCCTCTACTTGCCCCCTCTCCATTGGGCCACTGCCCATTTATTCTGCATCTTTTCCCCCCTTTCCTTAGAAATCCTTCTGCCCACCAGTGGAATTTTGAGCTTTCCCAGGGCTCTAGACAAACCACCTCCAGGAGGGGAGCAGCTTACAGCACTGGGGGCGTGTTTACACTGGTGCTTCTCAGCGCTGTGACTGGCTGCGCCCATAGAGGCCATGCTGAGTAGTGATGCTGAGCACCAATTCCTCAGGGCATGGAGGTCCCATTTCTCCACCAGCAGGGTGCACACAGCTACCTCCATGACAGGAGGAGCCACACGCTGCCCAGGGGCTCTGCCAAGACATCTCAGAACATGCAATAGAGCTGCATGATCAGCGGCTGGTGCCTGGAAATTGGTTAATGGGCACCACACAGAGCCCTTCTGAGAGCTTAGCCAGAGTGGGAGGAAGCTCTAGCCAGTCTCAGGCACCCATGGTGACCACCAGGCCTGCATCCCATGGAGCCACTCAGAGATTGGTAGATCTGGAGGGAAAAGGCTGGGTAGAAAACTCTCACCCTTTATCTCTCATCTGCTCTAGAGCCATAAGAGCGGCTCAGTCCTCTTCTAGGAGACAGGTGACTTTTTTTCTCTTCCTCTTCTCCAAAGCTCACAAGAAGCAGGAGCCACAACATATCCCCTCAAGTGGTTCCTTCATCACTAGACAAAAGCAAAATGGGCTCAGGGGTTTGTCCAGGACCCCAAGCGCTTCCCATTTCTCCCAGCACTCACTGCAGAGGCAGAGACAATCAGGAGTTGGAGCCACATATCTTTCAACCTCCATGACTTGATTAGGCAATGAAGTAGCCAGGCCATGGCCACATGCACTCAGCTACTGTTGCTGCTGGGCTTAAAAACTTCAGCTTCCTCAGCCAGCCAGGCAGGCAGGTCACAGTCAACCTGCCCCACTCATTAGGGGGCAGGAGTACTGGGCAGGTGCAGCTGCAGGGCCCTGTTGCTGATTCTGGTCCCTTCGGTAGTCTCACCAGCACAGCATGACACATGCCTTCCCTGCTCCTCCCCTCTATGCCTCTATCAGGAAAGATATGCCTCTATGCTGGCCAGGCCAGCCTGCCTCCCAGAAGGACTCCACAAATCCATCATCCTCCTACATGACATTTTTACAACGCCAGCAAGCTGGCCTGAGCTGCTCAGCTAGGAGGGAGTGTCACTGTGCCTCAGTGAGTCACATCTGGGAATACCAAATTAAGGACAGAGGGATGCACCTTTAGGGTGTATCTAGACTACAGGGTTTTGTCGACAAAGGTGGACTTTTGTCGACAAAACTATACTTGTGTCTACACTGCCGCTGAGTTCTGGCGACATAACATCGGCAGAACTCAGCAGTTTTGTTGACGGCTGTAAACCTCATTCTGCGAGGAATAACGCCTTTGTCGACAGAGTTCTGTGGACAGAAGGCGTTATTGCATCTACAATGTCCTTTGCATCTACATTGTCATGTCGACAAAATGGCTTGCTTTGTCGACAGCTGGCTGTAGTCCAGACACTCTTTGTTGACAGAAGCTTTGTCGACAGTATCTGTTGACAAAACTTGTGTCGACAAAAGCCTGTCAACTTCTGTCAACAAAAGTCTAGACAGACCCTTACTGTAGGTGAGCGTGTCCTGGGATCTTGTACCATCCAGAGCCCAATCTCAGCAAGGTGAGGAAGAAGCCTTTCTGGGTGGGTGATTCAGATCCTGGCTCTGGAAGTCGTAATGGCACAGACCTTAATGAACACAATTAGCACTTGGTTAATTGCTGCCCCACACAGGATTTCCAGTCTTCAAAGCTCATGTGATCTCCTGGATGGAGCAAGGGGAGGAGCTGTGGATCCCAGATCTCCAGGGCTCTCAGGAAGGGGAGATCATCTGCAACACACACACAGGTGAGCAATCAGTTAATTTGACACAAACCAATTTCTGTGTCCTCCTAGCAGGTGTCACTTATGCAGGAGCAGCCCTAAACAAGCTGCCGGCAACTGATGCCCTAGGCAAAACGCGCGATTGGCGCCCCCGTCTCCAAAGCCCTCAATGGCCATTTATCTTGGCGCCTTAAGTGACCACCTAGTTCGCCTGTATTGACGGGCCGCCAGTGCACTTGTGCATTTTCATCAAGCCCCTTCAACCTGTCTTCAACTCCAGTGAGAGGGTGGTGGGGAAGGTTGGATTCTTTCCTTTGGGAAAGTGTTATGAGGAAGGAGGATGAACTCAGCTCATGGTTATTCAACCTTTCCAGCCATTTTGTGGGTGTGGGCCCTGTTTTCTGTTCCCCTTCTAAAGTTTTCCTTTCAGCGCAGCACAGGAAATAACTCCTGCCTGGATTCTCTCTCCATCCCAGCAGGTGATGGGACGCTGAGTGAGAACAATGTGGAGAGTCTTCCGGAGGAAGAACCAGAGCAAAAGGCTCCATGTGGGATGTTATTTGGAAGATCTGAAGGGCATGTTTCTCACAAACATGAGCAAGAAGAGACCCATGGGAGTCAGCGTAGCCCAGAAAGGCAGCAGGGAAACTATCCAGAGAAGAAACAGGGTAAATCCTGTCATAGGAGCAGAGGGGTAAAAAGAAATACAGAAACTATTCAACAGAAAATCCCCCATCAACAAATACCATCCACTTACAATGACTGTGCAACTCCTATTGAACATCGAAGAAACCACACAGGAAAGAAGCCCTTCAACTGCTCCGACTGTGGGAAAAGCTTCAGTAGGAGCTCACATCTTGTTAGACATCAAAGAACTCACACAGGAGAGCAACGTTTCAACTGCTCTGACTGTGGGAAAAGCCTCAGTGACAGGTCAGACCTTGATAGACATACAAGAATACACACAGGAGAGAAACCCTTCAACTGCTCTGACTGTGGGAAAAGCTTCAGTAAAAGGTCAGACTTTGATAGACATACAAGAATACACACAGGAGAGAAACCCTTCAACTGCTCTGACTGTGGGAAAAGCTTCAGTAAAAGGTCAGACTTTGATAGACATACAAGAATACACACAGGAGAGAAACCCTTCAACTGCTCTGACTGTGGGAAAAGCTTCAGTAAAAGGTCAGACTTTGATAGACATACAAGAATACACACAGGAGAGAAACCCTTCAACTGCTCTGACTGTGGGAAAAGCTTCAGTAAAAGGTCAGACTTTGATAGACATACAAGAATACACACAGGAGAGAAACCCTTCAACTGCTCTGACTGTGGGAAAAGCTTCAGTAAAAGGTCAGACTTTGATAGACATACAAGTGATTGATCTGACTGTGGGAAAAGCTTGAGTTGGTGCTCAAGTCTTAACAATCATCATGCAATCCACACAGGAGAATCACAGAATCATAAAATCAAATCATAGAGCTCACTAGAACTGGAAGGGGCCATGAGAGGCCATCAAGTTCAGTCCAAGCACCATCTGTCATCCACCATTTCTGTCTTCCCGTGAAGGTCATGTCTTCTAGACCTTTAATGATTTTTGTTGCTCTTCTCTGGACCCTCTCTAATTCATCCACATCTCTCTTTTTTTTTTTAAATCTGGTGCCCAGAACTGGACACGTTAATCCAGTTGAGGTCTAATCAGCACAGAGTTGAACGGAAGAATTACTTCTCATGTCTTGCTCACAAAATTCCTGTTAATGCCACCCTAGATCTTCTCTGATTTGCAGGAAAAGGTTCATTCAGGGCTTAGACCTTGTTAGACACAGGAGAATCTACACAGGAGATAATCACTATATCCTACGTTCCCTTTAAGCTGTATGGCCATGCAGCAGGCTATTAAGTGCCATGCAAGCCCTTAGGGCTCTGGTGGGGAGGGATGCCTCTGGCCACTGATCTCAACACCAGCCCAGACCTGCAGTGGTCAATAGACAGCTATCCCAAGGCTCCAAGCCCCAGAGCTGCCATGGCAGGGCAAGGTGCTGCTTCACACCCACACCCACCTTCCTCACAGCAGCATCTGAGCCCTTCAGTGACCTGACTCTCAAGCCCCTCCAGCCTTTGCCCACACCAAATATCACACCCCTAGCTGGAGTCCTCACCCTATCACAGCTCAAACCTCTGTCTCAGCTCTGAGCCAGCACTCATGCCCTGCTTCCCAACTCTTTGCCTGAGCCTTGAGCCCCCTTTCCACAATCCAAAACCTGGCACCTCAGTCCTATCACATAACTTTGTTCTGTGCACCAATATGGAGATAATGTGTCACATATCCCCTCCATATTGGTGCCCCTAACAAAACTCGTTCTGCACATGTGTAATTAAAAAAATAGATTTAACACTGTGTATAACTGCTCTATGGGAAAAGCTTCAGTCAGACTCAGACCTTGTTAGATACTACAGAATCCACATAAGAGAGAAACTCCAGCCGCACTGACCATGGGAAAAGTTTCAGTAGCGCTCATACCCTCTTGTATATCAGAAGTTCACACAACTGCTCAGACTGTGGGCAAAGGTTCAATCGGAGCTGATACTGAACATCTGTCAGAAGATAAAAGTGACAGCCCGTAGTTCATTCAGAGAAAGCATTAGTCCTGGGGTGGGCAACCTATTAGAGATGAAGAGCCAGAATAGCAGTGGATAGAGTATGAAGAGCCATGTATTATATATTTATTTTTTATCTCTCTCTCTCTATAGATAGATAGCTATAGTACACAAAATGCAGTGATCAAAATAACATTACAGGACATTTTGGACAAAAACTAAATACAGTCTAATTGCCTCAGCCTGGCAACAAATAGCCTTTGAATTTTCTTTAAAGAAACACAGTGTAAACCAGGTACATGCTGATTTTTTCCCCCCCTTCTGGAATTTAAATATGACATCTGTGTTGGCTGCCTTATTCTGCATCCATGAAGACTTTGAGTTTAAGGGGTTGCAAAAGGCCTTTGTGATGTCACTGCCACACCTACCCCTGCCCTGCAGGTCTAATGTCCTGCCCCTGGCTGCCGCTTTACACAGTGGAGCTGCTCCCAGCAGTGAAAGTAAGACATTTCTTACAGGTACTGTCATATTGGACAGCTCACTTGGGTAGGGACAGGCTTAAAGCAGGAGATGAGGGGAGGAGGTATGATATAACAGTACCTGTGAGAAATTAAAATGAGGTGTGGAAGGCTCAGTGCTGAGGAGAGAAACACCCGAGCCAGTGATACAGATTGACCTGGCTGCAGGTGAACAAGGGGTGTTTAATAAAGCTACTGTAGTAAGCTGAGGGTCAGTAACATGGAGTCAGCAGGCCTGAATAGAGGCCTGTAACATGAAAGCAGCAACAGGCCTAGAATCTAGCGAGCAAGACTTTGGTTCAGGAACACAGGAGCCAAGAAAGAGGCCCTACTGATAACTGTGTAATTGTGTAAGTTAGGTAGAGCATGGAAGGACACAGGGAGGCACTGGGTACGGACTGTAAGACAAAGGGGAGTAGCGAAACATCTTAATAAGAAATGTCTTGGTACAAAGACTTCCCAAAAAGTAATGCACATACCGACATAGGTTCAGGACCAAATCAGAACTGACAGGATGACAAATAGAAGGTAAGCCCTTCTTGCATAAAGTGAGGGGTGGTTTCTAGGCAACAAGAGGGTGGCAACCTGGTATGTAAAGAAATGATGTAAGTTGTTTGTACCTTTTTATAAAAGGACACCGCAAAGGGTGCTCTCCAGCCAACCGGGGGGGGAGGGGCAGCGCACTAGGCTCCTGAATGGCAGGTGTCATTGCCTAAACTTACAGAGTGCACAGTAGCTTAACTTTGACTAACTGCTGTTAATATCTGTTATATGGCAATAGGCCTGCCCGGTGTTGGCACCTTGTCAACGTGGGCCGTAGTGCCCAGTAGTGTAACATTGTACTGATCTCTGTTACCAACTGGTAGAGCTTTGCATTTGACAAATAAACCTGCTCGATTGATTTCAAACCTTGCCTGCATCTGGCGTTTCCGGGGCCTCTCAAAGATCTCCTGTGTTGACCCAAGCGCACTGGGTCTAACATTCTAGATAAAGGGAGTACCTATTGTTACGCACGTAGCCGAAAGTTTATCATCACCGACAGAGTAGAGGTCCTGTCAGGAGCGCGCCAGGACAACCCTGACCAGACGATGCTGACACTGACAGTTCAGACCACCTGAGGTACCGAGGTACGACACTGGTGACCCTGACCGCTGATCTGGTAAGAAGGCAAACAGTTCTGTTTATCTGTTTGCAATCTAACATCTAAAATGGCAGAAAATCATGAGTTAGGTAACCCCCATCTACATTCCCTTAAAATCCCGGAAGGTTTTGAAATATGGGCCTGTTGGAAAAATGAGTCAGAGGAATTTTAAAAAGAATATGGAGAAACTGGTATATGTGAAACCATGGCAGAAACTGAAGCACTGAAAAAGATTAGTAGTACTAAAAAGCCTAGCATTTTGCAACTTATGTCTCTGGCAGTGAGATGGCTTAAACAGCCTGCTACAGTACTACCCTCCCTGGTAATGGAACAGATAGGGGAAGTAAAAGAAGCAACCTTGCAAAAGAGAAAAGTGCCATCCCTTGCAAAGTAACAGCCTTTGGTAACTTTCACAGTACCTGAAGCCATGGGACAGAAATTATCAGTGATGGGCCTGGCAAATTTGAAAGATGAAATGGGGTCCACTGCAATGCAACTACAATTATATAATAAAAGCCAGGTTCCAGTTGAACTTAAACTGAAATCTAGACTGGTGCCTGTCAGAATGGGAAAAGTAAGTGCACAGGAGGAAGAAGTAGCAAACAATACTTTCACTGAATTGGTAAATAAAATGAAGGAAAAAATGGAACAATTCACAGAGCACACTAGGAGACAGGAGCTGCAACATGATTGCAGGAATGTAAGGAAAAAAGTATTTCATATTGAAAAAGCAAGACTAAGCAGGCTAACAATAATCAATGCATTAACTCATAGAGTTGCCCCGAAACAGTTAAGTACAGCATGTATGGGCACTCCCACAAATCATCTAGCATGCAAACAAGAACAGACACTGGGGGAACAAATTCAGTTTTTACAAGTGCAGGTAACTACCCCCACTCTAAAAGTCAGGATAAAAATCCAGGGTGCAGGTTTCCAAATACTCTAACCCATGGAAACATACTGCGCTCCGCTTAAATTCATTCTTCTTTTGAGATATTTTTACATACCGGTATATTTTCCTTTATAGCCGTCTCTCTGTTTGCTTAATTTGTTGCTGCCTGTACTTTAAAAGAAATTAAAGCGTTAAACTCTCTTAACTTGAGTCTCTTTACCTTCTTCTCCCAACTCTCCCCCTTTAACTCTCTCTCTCTCTGTTAAAAGTTAGTTTTATACAAATCTTTAAAATATAAAGAGGTTAAGAATAGAATAGGAAACAAAGAAAAATAAAGTAAATTTTTACTTTAAATAATTCCCATAAATTAATTATTTTTATCCTTCAGGAATGCAACAGCTGATATAACTCCCAAATTTCCTGAAGATAAGGTTGCTAAGCAACAGACATGCAGACACTGTTTCTAATCCTAACTATTAACTATTATTTGAAACATGGGCTTTTTTTATTTCAATACACCTGTATAGCACAGTTTTAAAATAAAACTTAATAATGGGCAATGCCATAAGTTACTAAATTAATACAACATATCTGGCAAAAATTAATAAAAAATTATATAATTTTTATTAATAGTTTTAAATAAGGTAATAACTTGCTGATTTAAATGTTTAACCCTTTTTTTCCTTATTTTTTATAGTTATAAATGTAATGTTGGCGCCATTTGTTTTTAATTGTAAGTTGTCCTATATGTCATGTATATTGTATGTCATGTGACTTTTTTTAGATTATTTTTATTTTGTTGCAACAAAAGTCAATTTTTATACTTTTTTTAAAAAATGTGGTACCACACTATTTTATTATCATATTTAGAGTATAATCATTTTATGAATACTATTTTTTTTAAGTTCAAAAAGGTTTCGTTTACAACATATGTACATATATTTTATGACTCAACAAAAAATGTAATTGCAAACAATTTTTTTCTTTTATTAATCAAAGTTTTTTTTTTTAATTCAAAGACAATGTAAGGGATACCAAACCCTTAACATTAAAGGTCCAGGATTAAGGTTTAGGTAACATTAATAAATTGTCAATTTTTATAACCTTGTTTTGACTTTTAAATGCGGTTATAAGAATGGTATAGCAATACAGGCAGTCCCCGACTTACGTGGATCCCCTAGATACGAACGGGGTGAGGCAACTC